GTTTATGGTGCCTCAGATTCCGACCTTTCTGTAATACAGAATTTTTTAGACCGGTGTATGAAAAGAAAGTTTATGTCCAAGAATGTAAATATCAGGGATTTGCTAGAGAAGGCGGACAAGACACTCTACAAAAAAAGATCGAATGACCCCGAATGCCCGTTCTTCCAGTTTTTACCTAAGGAAAAGAACATGAGGTACAATCTTAGAAATACGTCAGTCTCTGTCCCTAGAATCTACACTGACAGGTTTAAGAACGTTTTTAGTAACAGAATAATTTTTAGATATGATATGTAAATAGTTTTTTGAGTTTATATTGTAACTTAGGATATGTGATTTTATCTTAAGAAATAAAGATTATTATTATTATTATTATTGTAGATGCTTTCTTCAATCTTGCTTCTTAGAAAAATTGTCAACCTTACCCCCCTGCCTACATAGTGAAAAATACACACCATAAGACTCACGACTGGCCAGTCAAAACTCTAGAATTGTAGTATCCACTGATCCAGTCTCATCGCATCGCGCATCGCGAAGGTTTGGATTCTACTTTGTACTTACTCACGATCTTTGCCTCGAATTCCCTCGCAACAATTTGTGTTTCGGTTTCCTTGGCGGACACCCCCACCTAAAAAACACATACTTTATAATCTTGCAGGAACCAATCACCCTGAAGCATCCTCCGCGGCACCAGTAACTGCGTTAGATTTTCAGTCTATTTTTGGAAATCTTTTCCCTCAAAATGAGCCGTAATTTCTACACGTGCGCGCATTCCAATAGCAGTTGATCTTCTAGAAAAGAGCAAGGCACCATAGACGTCACTACCACAGTTTTCAGCCATTTTGATCACGATCATTGATCTTTTTTATTCTGATTTTGATTCTTTTGGCTTGAAACTTCGCTGTTCTTATTCACCAGCCTTGTTACCAGACATTCTTGGAGAGCTCAGATGTGACATCGCCCATCAAGCTAATCAGGAGGGTACAGTAAGTCTCGCGGTAGCCTGTGTGCAGCCCTCCTCTCCTTTCGAACAGAGAGTGGCTGTACACCGGCTGGGGGCTGAGGGAGACGGGAGCAGAAGGGGAAGTCGAGGGCAGCCTGGGACTATTGACTTCGTTTCCAACCCTCCTCCTTTCACGCGCATATCGCTGTGGAAGTTGCTGACTAAGGGCCTGTTTACATCGAGGTGGGGGACCCCAGATACGAGGTAACCCGGCTTAGGTTGGGTAACACGCCTGTCCATACAACTTCTCATTTTAATTTGATAACATTTGGAGGTTGCCCGCCGCGGGTTACTTCATTTACCCAGGGTCCCCCACCTCCATGTATATATGTATGTATGCATGTAAACAGACCCTAAGAGATGAGGCGAGACTATATATAGCCGAAACAGTTTTCTGTTCCCCTAAAAATATATAGCAATTAATGAATTCGGCTTTCGTAGGATATGAAGAATTAAGCAGATCGAGGAGGCTGTTATCCACAGAGGCCGAAGGCCGAGGTGGATAACACCCTCCAAGGTCTGCTTAATTCTTCATATCCTACGGAAGCCGAATTCATTAATTGCTTTATTATTCATTCAAAATAATTCCTAGTTTAAAGACATAGCTAAACCATGCTTACCTGAATCGATGTTAAGTTCATCTTAGATAGTGTAGGTTTAGGTTTGTCCCGGCTCCGCAAATATTCTCCAAATAGCAGATGTCGCCCTCCGAGATGTCTTCTTGCTGTTTTTGCCATCTTTTTGGCTCTTATTTTGCCTAGTTCCAGGTGTAGTTCTTACTCTTGAAACGAGTGAAATGTCCGCCATTTTTTTCACAACCAAAATAACTCAACCTCGTTCCCAGGTCTTCTCGGTTAACGGTGCATTAACCTGGAACAAGGCTGCACTTTTGACGTCATCGGTTCATTAAACGCAAAATTCTTTCAAATTTGGTCATCAGTAGCTGGTTATGGTGAATTATTCGTGTGCTTTTAGCGAATCAGAATCGGGGAAATATTTTGAATGAATAATAACAGTAATTGAAACCCAAGTCGCTCCACCCTCGAAATTCTTCAAATAACTTACCTCTTTGGAAGTAATATCTTGACATTTTGTTCCATCTAGGGCAGCCTGCACGGCGTTTATAATCAAGGCAGTAAAAAGGGACATCATAATTGCTCCAACAATCACCCATAAAATTCCAAAAAAACGCCCGATGAAAGTTTTTGGCGTTTTGTCACCATCCCCGTATCTATGATAAAAAATGCATTTAAGGAGGATGATATAGAGGTTACAGATCATAAGGAAATAGCTGAACGGTTTAATACACAGATTTAGCCAGGGCTAAAAGCGAAGCTCTGTTTAAAAATACTTTTAAACAAAAAATAAATAAATCGTGTAATGCTAAACGGGTCGGCAATGAAAATGGCATCAAGATCAATAGATCTTATTAGCAAAAAAACAAATTTGCACGTGCAGCACGCTTTTTTGTCTTTCTTTGCAGCTGTTTTGCACGACTATAATGCCGTTTTGTACGACTAAAACGTAAAACTTCCCAGTTACACATTATTTTTATGGAGGAATTGTCGTATGTGCTTACCAAAGATTTTGTTCTCTGTGTTCTTGTTCACAAAGCAAATGAGAAAGAACTTTTCTCAAATTATAGATATCTAAGGCAGTGGACAACAGTGAATATACAATGGTGGTTTTCCACGGTACATCACAATATACTGCTATATAAGCTAGAGCATTATGGATTTAGAGAAATAGCCCTCGACTGGTTTAGGAACTACTTATCAGGAAGAACACAAATTGTTCAATTCAAACTAACCAGTTCAGATTACTTAACAATTAAGCGTGGTGTGCCACAAGGCTTTGTTCTAGGACCGCTCTTGTTTTTGGTATATGTCAATGATATATGTAAAAGCTCTAAGATATTATCCTTTATTTTATTTGCTGATAATACAAATCTGTTCCTAAGTCATCAAGATTTAAAAACTCTCGACAATACCATGAATCAAGAATTAGAGAAGGTTACATTGTGGCTGGCAGCAAACAAATTATCATTAAATGTTAGAAAAACTAATTTTATGATCTTCAAAAGCAAAAATAAAAAGGTTCAACATAAAGTAACTGTCAATATTGCAGACCAAAATATAAAACAAGTCGATCATATATCCATCTCTTTTCCTGCCCCGCTATCCTTTTCGCGTACCTTTCACTTTCGAGTCTTTCCCACCAACTTAACCTATCTGACAGCGTGGAACAGGCTACATTTCTTGTCGCTCGTTTGCGTTCAGTCAGTCGCGTGCTAAGGTTTCTGCCGGTCTCATCATTTGATCTTGTATACTGCTCCCGGTCTGTCTTCCGGTTTGTCTTTGTCCTTGACATTAGTAACTAGTCCTGGTAGTCGTCGTAAAGTGGTTATCGGCTTTTCTGCAACGCGTATGTTGTAAGGTTGTAGTATACGAGTGATTGTTTCAGAGTTGACTCTGATGTATGTGGTATAGTCGCTGTCACAACAGGGCCAGAGATACTTAACTAACGTACTGAAACCTTTGAGAGATACTTAACTAACGTATTTAAAAGAGAATTTAACTAACTAACGTACTGCAATTTAGAATTGTTGGTTTTGGAGAAGGGGGAAAAACCGGAGTACCCGTAGAAAAACCTCTCGGAGCAAGGGAGACTGTCGACGGCGGGATTTGAACCTGGTGGTGGGAGGCTCCCCACAAGAGAGAATGAGAATTCTCTCTGGCTCCTCTAACAAATATGCGATTGCTGGGGTAAACCGCTTTCTAGGGTAACCCCAGCACCGGAGTTACCTTCCCTCCTTCTAAATAACTTACCCAACAGTAGATAATGACACCACTGCCCACCACAATCCCTCGGGAAAGCCCTTTGAAAACGTAGACGCAAACTCCGACTTTCTCCCTTTGTGTTCCTATAGTAAACATCAAAACATTGTCAATTGATGGGCTTGCATGTGAGTAGTATTGAGGGATGAAGATAAGTCCCGTTGATGCCTTCCCCCGCCTTTCGTATGTTTCCCCTTTACTAATATGCATAACTGCTTTCCTGCATTCTAATTTACTGCCTTCCGTGTACCTTCCTCCATACTAATAAGTGCCTTCCTCCATATCTAATGAGCGTCTCTCTTATACAATAGGAACAATATGCTTGCCCGTTAAGTAACTTTAGCTCCGTTTGTCGGACCGTCTTTAAAAAAAAAATACGAATAAGAGGAGCGATCACCTAGCAACGCGAGAAACGGCTTACGTCTTCTTATTTAGCGCTCAAAATCGGATATATAAACAAAACACACACACATACAAAAAGTGGATCTGAAAACTCTTTATTTCAATTTTGACTGACTATTACAAAACTCTTTTCTCTGTTCTATCTCGAGGAAACGACTAGCTATTGAAGTCTCAGCGCTTGGTGACCTTATTGGCTTGTTTCACGCACCGTTAGTTAATTATGCGAGTTAACAAGCCGACATTTGCACACAAATGGGCTCTACAGAAAAAAACCCAAGGGACAACCTTCACTTATTATTGCCAACCAGCAGCCTCGCAAAGACGCGAGGCTGCGAGGCGGCAGCCTAATTAGCCATTTCGAAGTTGCGTAGGGAACTGGGGCGAGTTTCAAATTTCAACTAATCGATAATCCGTACAAACGTCTATAACCATATAAACTCTTTAAACTTTTCCAGTTTTTCTTTTAAATTGTCAAATTCGTCATGCATCTACTACTTGGAAGAAAACTAATTCGAAAATCACTGTGTTTGCCCATTTTTAGGAATATCACAGAAATCGTGAAAAAAATTAAGAGTTTATATGGTTTGGGGGACGCTGTCACAAAATTACAGAGGTTTGTATGGCTCTTTAACCATGCCTCAAAAGTCATAACTTGATCCCTGTTCAACCTTAGAGCACCAAACTTGGTCAAATGACCAATCTCAACATGACCTTTTATATGGTTGTGTCAGTTTATCGATTAGTTTAAATTTGAAACTCGCCCCAGTTCCCTACGCAACTCCAAAATGGCCAATAGAGCCGTGCGCGATTGTTCCAGGGGCAGAAAGAATCTCCAATCGATGTAACATATAGGCTGCGGTCACGTCTACGACGTAACTAGAGTTTAACTTAAGTTAGTGTCAAGTTACGTGAGGTCATACCTAACTGTAGTTAGTGCTTTCGGTCGACATTGCGGTCACACCACGCAGTTAACAACAGTTAGTTCTAATAAGCCTATGTAAAGTTTTTGTTTGTTGTTTTTGGTTTCCTCCTCGCTTCACGCGGCCGTCACTTATTTCCATCCGCCAAACTGACATTTTCCTCTCAGTGGCTCTCACAAGACATTTCACTTTTCGTACATGAAATTTCTCTGTCTCTTATAGAAGTCTAAGTCTCTTCAATTTTTAAGGAAAAAAATTCAGGATGGCGCGAGTAGGATTCGATCTCGGAACATCGGCACTGCAGTGCATCACTTTAACCCTTACACCACCGAGGATTTGCCGACAATTATGGGTTTGATTTGAATATATATAGCAACAACCCTAACCCTAACCCTTACTTTGTGTACGAATCATTAATCTGTCAACGTCAGTTTGGCGGATGGAAATAGGTGTTGACCGCTTCACGCAAGGTTTTTATTTTGCATATTTATATATGCTCATCTCGCACGAGCGAAAACAAGTGTCACATTCTGATTGGTTGTTTGTTTGTAAACCTAAGACTAACCCACGACCCCTACTTGGGTATAACTATAGTTAGTCTGTATTGTTTTGGATCCCCGAGGCGTAAATTTTCTAACTATAGTTATAGCGAACAGAGAAGCGGTCACATTACCGAAATAGCTAACTATAGTTATCCCCGTCTTAACTATAGTTAGTAGCCCAGATGTGAATGTAAGGCAACATTTATGACGTAATGCAGAACAGAGAATGCATTAGGGAGTTTAAGCAGCGACGTTTTTGAGCGACGCATGTCAACCGGAAGTAGACTTTTTGCACTCTTGAGTTGTGATTTTGAACAAACATTTGGGCAGACCGTCTCTATAATAGTAGAGACTCTTAGCGATACAAATTTGGTGGCGTCAAAGCATATTAAAAGAGAAAAAAGCTCACTTCCTGTTGACGTGCGTCGCTCAAAAACGTTGGTACTTAAGCTCCCTATTGTCTTCGAGCGAACGCGTGATACAGATCAGAGAATCCCCGAGCCGTGCGCGTGTTTGTGAGTCCCGTGCTCATCCCGTCTTCAACCAATCGTCAGGTGGATATTCATCTGCATCATACGCGATAGCTGTCGCATTTGGCCGCTGGAATTTTTTATTGCCTGCCGCTAAGAAAAAACAACGCCGTAAAATTGATTGTGTCTTTGAAGGAAAATAATCCGGAAGGCTTCATCGGCGCGCCATAAATCTTATTTAGCTTTAAAAAGAGACCAAATATAAATCTGTACGTTGAATATTCGCGGAATTAAATATGATTTTTCGACAATTCTAAATTGGCTCATAAGCCCACTAAATTTTACGCAAAATGTCATGTGCGCAACTTCGGACAAAAACACGAACTTCAATATCTAGAAAAAATTGCTATGTAAAGTCGGAACTTCAAATTCTTTATGCAGAAGAACAGTTTAGTTCACTATTTTCAAAATACAAACTTAAAGCAAGGGGCACACATACACCAACCCATGATCCGCCTTCCCCGCGCATGTCGTGGGAGAACTGCCGTGTGGTTCCAAACCAACAGCTCCGACATGTTTTGTGTGGAGCTGGCGCTTAAAGGAGCCTCAATATGATATGGCTGTGCGCATGCGTTGGTTGGTGTATGTGCGCCCCTTGCTTGCACTATTTTCAAGGTAATTTTCGCCTATGCAATCCGCGAATTAAGTTCAATCCATTTTTCATAATTAAGCAATAGAAAACGTTTTCCGTGTTTGTATAGCCTGATATAAACACTCGAAGGGTTGGGAAAATTCGAGACAGTTATGCAAACCCTCGACTTCGTCTCGAGTTTGCATAACTAGAACTGTCGAGAATTCTCCGAACCCCTCGAGTGTTTATATCAGGCTATGCAAACACAGGAAAAAAGTTTTCTATTGCTTTTATAAACCAACTTTCCCGGGAAAAAACGCAAAACTCTTTGTTATGGCACTTATTAAAAGAGAAATTCTTACCAGTCGCAAAGTCTTGTACACGAAGTCTTGCACGCGTAATCAGTTCTTGTTTTGCAAAAAGATGCTATTCAAAATACGGATTTTTCTCGCTTAAACTGTCAGCTTAAGCGCAAAAAATTCGACACACCTTCTTTGTAACGATTATATATTTGATTATTATTATTTGATTATTTATTTATATATATATAAATTGAACAGCGCGCGTATAAAGGAAAAATCTTTCCTCGGTGGCACTTAGCGATAGCTACAACTAGCTAGAAAAACACAAAACAATAAAAAAAGCTCAAAGAAGGATTTATTGAAACACGCGACTAATAAATGTTCGCTATAAAACCAGACAAGTTTCTTTTAAAGACACAAGAAATCAACTTTATGATCCTTTAATAATTGCAAATGATAAAATATTCAGTGATTTTAAAGAAATCTATTCAGTAGACCAAAAAAGGCAATCTAACTAACTCTTTTTTACATAATGCAAAATTTTTCACTTACCTCTCTCCTCCTCATCTTTTTGGTTTTCTCTTGTTTCCCTCCTTCTCCTCAATTTTATTATTTTCCCTCCTCCCTTCATCCTCATTTTTTTATTCCCTCCTCCTCCTTCTCATTATTTTTAATTCCCTCCTCCACCTCATTTTTAAATATATTTTTCCATCCACAAATATGTCGACCCTACATCGACCCCACATCGACTCTACACTCAACTATGATTTTCAGCTTCGTAAATAGCGAAACTATATACCTCTTTCCTTTTTCCCTCCACTACCACCACCACCACCACATTTCTATTTTTTTCTTTCCACCACCAGCACCACATTTCTATTGTTTTCTCTCCGCCACCACCACCACATTGCTATTCTTTCTCTCCACCTCCATTTCTATTATTTTCCCTCAGACTCCTCATTTTTTTATTCCTTTGGTGGTGGAGATAAAGCTATAGAAATGTGGTGGTGGTGGTGGTGGAGAGAAAAAATAGAAATTTGGTGGTGGTGGAGAGAAAACAATAGAAATGTGGTGGTGGTGGTGGTATATAGTTTCACTATTCACGAAGCTGAAAAAAGTAGTTGAGTGTTCATGTAGGGTCGATGTAGGGTTGATGTAGGGTCGATGTATTTGTGGATGGAAAAATATATAACAAAATGAGAAGGAGGAGGAGGGAAACAAAAGAAAACCAAAAAATGAGGAGGGGATGGGTAAGTAAAAAATTATGCGTTGTGTGAAAAAGAACTAGATTGCCTTTTTTGGTCTACTTATCAGACTTGTTTAAAATCACTGAGTATTTTATCTTTTAAAATTATTAAAGTTGTTTATATGTCCGATTTTTAGCGCTAAATAACAAGACATAAGCCGTTTCTCACGTTGCTAAGTGATCGCTCCTCTTACTCCTATTTTTTTTTAAATAGACGGTCCGACAAACCGAGCTAAAGTTACTTAACGGGCAGGACTATTGTTCCTATTGTATAAGAGGGACGCTCATTAGATATGGAGGAAGGCACTTATTAGTATGGAGGAAGGCACACGGAAGGCAGTAAATTAGTATGCAGGAAAGCAGTTATGCATATTAGTAAAGGGAAAACATACGACAGGCAGGGGAAGGCATCAACGGGACTTATCTTCATCCCTCTACCACTACTCATGTGACCCGCTTGGATCTTAAAAATGACAAGCCTTTCCTTTTACCAGTTTAAAAGAACGCGTGGCAGAAATTGGAAACTGCCGAAATGTTACTCTCAATAGACGAGGACGTGCTGTACAGTGTCTTTTCTAATTATATCAAACACCATACCAGCACAATATCAGGTTCTATCGTTTAACAATCCATGTTTTATCAAATCATCATGTTTTATTAATCCATGTTTTAATAATTCATACTTATCCAAGTTTTATTAATGGACGTTTTATGATTCCAGTTCTGTCTTCATTTTATTGGAAATAAACTTCTCTCGTGGCCAAAAACAGACTGTGTGGTTATTGTGTTGATGGCGAGGGGAATTGACGTTTATTATTCCAGTCAATGTTTTGCCAATCCAGTCCAGTCCAGTCCAGTCCAGTCATATTTTATCAGGTGCCGAAACGACCACAGAATTATGTTTAAATCATTTGCATGTGATTGAAGCAACTGGAGTGACGAAAAACGAGTAAAGAACTCAAACATCTTGAATCGAAAGTTTATTTTTGGCCAGAGAAAATTGCAGACACATGAATTACATTGCCAGGAGGAGACGATTGCTTTTTTTCGGGTGGGGGAGAGAGGCAAACTCAACAAATTCCGAAGAAATATGACAAGGAGAATGCGACATTTTCAGGGAAATTATCAGCTACTTTCATACTATTGAAAAAAGCCGTTAAAGCCTTCAAAACACCTTGCGTAGGGATTTGATCCCGCCCACTTGATAGAACATCGCCTCTGAAACGTACTTATCAATAAGTGAATTACTATATTTTTCGGTCAGAATGAACTTCTTGAAAAGACTGCAAGAGCGATAGTCCGCAGATCACTATGAAATATTTAACTTACCAGCAACCAAATAAATATTCCCGCAATGCCACAGAGAAGTATGATGCAAACAATTATCGGCCACTGTGAGCTAATAGAAGTAAATAACTGATTCTGTGATTCTGCCACACACTGTTTTGTATTCACAATCAATGAGCATCCCTGTGACGCAAATGCCCGGATAACCGTTACGTTTTCAATGCTTTCAAGAGCTTCCATAGCCTCAGAAAAAATGGGAAAAGCAAAATCCACCTTGTTGCTTTTAACTAAATCAACTAGCTCGTCGGTGTTCTTAACAAAAGTGGCCTGCAAATTGCACGGTGATTGTTCCCCAGGTCCCGTGCCGAAGCATGCAGTATTTATAAACCAAACTATTCGGTCGTGCATAAATCCTCTCTCCGAGATTTTTGTTTTGTTCATCACATATGGTGGAAAGTCCAGCAGGGCAAGGGTGAAAGTACATTTCTGCACGTTGGAATCGGGCTCCTGTAATTCTCGAGCTTTTCGATTTGTTCGAATGTCACGCGCATGTCTAATTAGTCTGGACTGATGTAATCTGCTGTCACTTTTACTGCTTATGACGGCACTCAGTTCATATGCAAGCAGAAAACAAATGACCAATCCCGCAGCGATAGAATGCATTGCAGTTAAGGCCAGCTTTCTTCGTTACTGGTAGACTCCGTGTTTAAGAGTAGTCATGCTAATCTAAAAAAAAGTTAATGATTTAAGCTTATATTGTCTCGCCGCATGTAAATAATCCGGATTCCGGCATCCGGGCAATTTTTGCTCGTGGAATCCAGAATCTTAGTAGACTACTAATAGTACCCATTTTTCCCCAGGGATACTAGAGCGAACGAAACGCGAGCGCGCATGAAAATCAAGCCTCGCGAGAAAGGCGAGACGCGTGGGGTGATTCAGTCATGCGCGTTCGCGTTTCGCTCGCTCTACTATCCCTGAGGAAAAATGGGGACTGCTCGTAGTCTAGAATCTTAGAATGCTGGGCTTTGGAATCCGTAATTCAGCCAAAGGAATCTGGAATCCCGCTAACGATAGGAAACTGGAATCCAAGTTCCACTGACAAGGAATTCGTAATCCAGTACCTGGGATGCAGAATCCACAGCGGAGAATCTGGAATCCAAGACTATCTTGGATTACCGTTCATGGGGCGACAAATTTCATTAAAAAGTGAGCTTCAAGGTTGGAGTCCCGAATAAATAATACATCCATAATCCTGGGTCACATTTTATTATAACGCAATATTCTGTGTAAAAAAAAAAACATCCTAGTTTTCGGACCCCCGGTATCTTGAAACCTCCAATTTTGTTTACAATGCTTCCTCAAAATCGCCTAAAGGATCAAAGAAATGGTTCTTTAAAACGGTATCAGAAAGTAAAAATCAGAGTTTCAATGAGCTTAAATTCTGTTCCCCTTGTTCTGTTCCTTGCGCACATAACATATGCATAATTTTAGGTCGATAAATCCATCAAAAAATGCTTATTCACAGAACTGCAAGGTATAAACCTCAATCATCCTAACCGAGGCCACTGACGAAATTTTGTGGTGTAAATATCTGCCGAAAGTTGATCACCCTACTGGCCCGGGCGCGACATTGGGTGACAGCTTGCCCATATCGTCTCTAGAACACGAGAGCTGGTTTGGTGATTTTGATCGCATCTCGTTGGAGGAGAACCAAACAGAGCCTTTTGGCAATAGGAAAGATTGTTCTAGAGTTCCCTTGATGAGCAGGTAAAGGAGGTGTTGCAGATCTCGTTTTCGCCTTCGAGCGAAAGGATTCCTGTAGACCAAAGCTAAAGCTGAGAGAATAATATGATTATGATATCATGATTCTGTTTAATGCAGAGAGTCACGTCACTGGTTTACAGACCAAAGTTTATCTTTGTTAGGCACGTAACTCCTGCGTTGCTCGATTTGTCCCAGCACATACTTCATATATGGTAGTCGTTGCTGTTCAGGGCTCATATATGGTATATGTTCAGTCGTTGCTGTTCAGTCATGCTCCTAAGAATCTGTAAGGGGGTTTCAAGCTATACCGGTCAGCATTTGGCCGATGGCTTGATCCGTTAACATCCTACCCATCTTCGCCATCACCAAAGTAGCCTGCCTAACAGGCACTTGGAAGTAGTGGGCGAAAAAGAGAACGGGCGCGCGCGAGGGAGACACGCGAGGGGTGAGGGAGCTCCCTCTTCCCTTGCGTGTCTCCTTCTCGCGTGCTTGTTTTTTCTTGTGGCACTATTTCCAAGCGCCACTACTCTCAAGCGCCTGCTACGCAGGCTATCACCGAAGCCTCGTGAGGATAATCTCCCTGAAGACCAATCATAAGCACTCGCATCTGACATTCATGCGTTACGTAGTAGGCGCATGAGAAGTAAATTAAGAACGGTTGATCGAGGGGGAAAAAAAACGTATTCTCCTCCATGGGGCACTTTGCTTATCTCATGCCCCTTTCTTGGTCTGTAAAGTTTTCTTTGCGGGAAATACGTTTGCGTTCGTTGGCTATTGCGCGCACCTGCAACAGAGGCTAATTTTTGTCCTGATTCAATAAGATATGACAGCATTTTCTGATGCGACTTGAAGGTGAAGCTCCCAGTAAACTGTGGTTCTGCTTCTATAGAGGAGGGGAGTTGATCAGCAAATTCCACGTGTTCTAGTTACAGTGCTGTCTGGTTTGAATCCCGTATTTGTCACGCCGGTATGAGGCTCTGCTAAAAAGTGTCCGTGACCGAGGTGGCGCTCACTTCTATGACAGACCTTTTCTTTTTCATCAACTCCTTATAGAGTGCTTCTTCTAGTCTGTCACGGCTTTAAGTGAGAATTGGTGAAGTATCAGCTTAAAAAAAATTGCCTTAGCTTGCCATTATTTCTCCAGGTGTGTTGTTGATAGCCGGCCACTCCAATAAATTTATTCTAATTCTGCGCTTGGTTTTTGTGCTAAAAAGCGCGATAGGTTCACATTATTGAGTCTAACCTCGTGAATGAAACTGTAATTAATGACTTGAATAAACAAAAACGTCTTATTGGACTGTTGCTCTGTGAATTTGTTTAGGGAGTGATATTATCAATGGCACCCAACGACTTTTTTCGGTAAAATATCTGTTCGAAGAAGCAAGTATTGCCTAGAATTTTCTATTACTTGAGGACAGCTAAATATTTCCAGATGACCGTTCCATTAATATACAATTTTCGAAGCTTATCTAGTACATTACCTAAAATTTTCTAAAGTTTAATTTTTCACATTTCACTCCTCAGGTTAGGCTATTTTTCGTAGAAAAAAGAAAACCTAAAATTTTCGGATTCAAAAATGTGATGGAGAGAGAAATCAGAAATTAAATGTCTCACTTTCGTAATAAGTCAAATTTCCTCTAAAATTTTCGGGAAAATAATGCTCAAGCCCTTGTAATTTCGAAAAGACCCAAGTTCCCCTAGGATAACTGAACAGATACAAATTTTAAAGCGCCCGGCTTAGAATGCATTTCTAGAGATCTAAAAGTACTCTGGATAGCCTCAAAAGTGTATTCAATGTATTTAGGAGGAAACCATCGTTGGAAGCCCCTGATATTATGTAATGCTTTGAAGTGTCATCGTTTGCATCAATAAATTATAGCATTTTTTTAAAAAACCAAGTAAAACGGGATTATCCGTTTCAAGGCGGTATCGATCTATTTAGAATAGCAGCCAGAACAACTATGGCTTTACGTCAGCGCACTGTCTATATGGCGTCCTCAATTTTGACATTGAAAATTATTTTCCGAGTTTGGACTCATTAGGGAGTTTCAGCATCGACGGCGGCGACGGCAGCGAGAACGTCACCTTGAAAAGGCATTCGCGTTTTTTCAAACATTGTCGCGTTTATTCCATTCCGCTGAAAATGTCAAACGTAGGCAAATTTCCCTAGAGTTGATTTCTTGGGGACCGCACTCAAGTTTAGAAAGAGAAAGAAAAATTCGTCGTCGTTGTTTACATCCTCCGTAAAGCCTGAAATCAACTTCTAGCAATAGAGAATTTCTATAAGCTGTCTTGGCACTAGATTTAAAAATAGCCTTACCGAGGGCAATGCGTTCTACCATCAATTTTACCATAAGTCTAAATTATTTAAATAGTACTAAAAAGGGTAACTTACAACTGAATAACTGAACACCGTAGCCTGAGTGTTTTCTGTCTCCTGCCTGGGATATTGCATCTGTCAAGAATTTGTTAAAAGGAAAAGAAAAGAAAGAACACAGGAAGATAATATCTTGCGGTTGTTTTTCATAATCCTTTCTATTTTTTGAAGGAGTACTTACACCCTCTTTCACAGTTAGTAGTAAAAATCGCCATTCTTTACTTACACTACTAAGGAAAACTTGCCTGGGAAAATTCTCTTCTAAAATAGGGCTGGAAGGAATCGATTAACTTTTTTAAATTTATGCACGTCACCTGTCCTCGAGAAAGTAATTTATGCTCCCTAATCCTAATTTAACTTCTCGCTGAGGATGAGGGAGTGCTGCTAAATTCACCGATCAAAATAGATCAATTATTATCGGTAATGCCTGATGATAAAACGTCAAAAACAGTTGCTGTTTAGTACTCTATTTTTAATTCTTTTTTTGTCGGAAAATACGTTGGCTCACCTGGAGGTAAGCTCCTTGAGAGGTCGATCTTACCTCAGACCTTATAATGGATAAGGTGCTAGTTAAACAGGGGCGTAGCGTGAGATTTTGAAGGCGTAAGCACCTCGGCAAGAAGAGCGCCGAGGGCGCTTTAAACCAGCAGGGTCTGAGGGCATTCTCCTCCAGAAAATTTTAAATTAGGGTCTCGGAAATGTCAAAACCTGCCGTATTTTCCGTAAATAAATACGAAGGAAAATGCAGTAGTTAGTCGTTTATTTTTCCTATCTCTAGTGTTATCGGGAAGGTACAGTGTTAAAGGAAGAAAGGGAAAAACATTAGGCAGGTTAAAATCAAGGGCGAGACTTTACCCTTCCGATTAAGGCAAACCAAAAAAAATGGCTTTCAGGGAAAAAAAAATTTTTTTTTCAAGATTTCAGCTGTGCGCACGGGCGTATGTGCGTATGAGGACGTTACGGTCCTACAATTCTCATAAATGCGGCAAGTTCGGTTTTGGTCGTGCATTATTCTTAAACATTGACAGCCTATTAGTTACGCGCCCCCGTGTCGTCGGTTTAAGGATACTGATATTTTAGCATTTCGTGAAGCCACATTTAAATCTACTGTTAGTGAATGTGAGCGGGAAATGCCTGGTTTGCGTTGCTGGTCAGCAAGTTGCTCAAGTTGGCACCACTTGCATTTATGGAATATGTTGTTTTGTCTGAAACCACCCACACTGCTATTGCAACCAAAAAGAGAATATACAAATTAACTCAATGGCGATCAATGATGATATAGCATACATCAAGTCGGTCAAAGTCGCTGTACTTGTAAAAATAGCTTTACTGAGGGCGTACATGTGGAAAAGCTTTCACACACATTGTAGTTTTGATGTAGCTATATTTAGTATGGTAGCTGCATGTAGGTGGTTGCAGGTGAACT